CATTTAGTCCTATTTAAAAAATACTAGTGAAAGTCTGTCTTTGTGTTTGAATTACTTTTCTAATATTGGTTGGTGCGGTGCTTCACTCCCACTTAAGGTAAATCAAACGCACCTGTCTCAATGACGCAGTGTAATTGGGCCCTCGCGTCTCACCTGGTGCTGGACTAACCTGGACTAACCTGGCTACGCTAACCTGGCTAAGCTAACCTGGCTACCTGCAGTGAAACGCGCTTTAAGGAGGACACCACCGTGTTTTGTCGTTAGCACAGTTAGCAGCTCCCTGAACAGACACTTAACACGTGGACGCCGGTGTCCCGCCGGGCGGAGACTGAGACCAACAACTCCCACCAGCTAAGCTAAGTATCCGCTACTTGTGCTAACAGGCTGTGGCTAATGTCTTGTGGCTGCACGCTCAGATTTGAATGTGGACACATGCAGAAACACCGTGAGCTAACGTGAGGCTGCGGGTTGTTTGCTGTCCTGCAGAAGTTGACACTGTCTGGTTGATTGTGAGGGATCTGAAAGGCTGCGACTGCTGCTGCATGTTTGTGTCACTGCTGGGAATCTGTTTCTCTCTTCTGTATCTGTCTTGAACATCTATTACCACTGTACCTGGACATGATTGACAGCCTGGTGCTTGTCCACACTGGTGTTTGTGCATCTGGATCTGTGCTGCTTTATGAGGGGAGGCAGTGAAACCTGCTGCAACAACAAGGCTTGTCTTGTAATTGGACTTATGTAACAGCGACCTGTGACTGGCAGCTGGAGAAAACAGATGTTCGAACAGACTCGCTCACAGTGCAGGTGGTGGTCACAGAAGGAAAGTGTTTCCATAGAAATGTGGATGTGAAGTTTGCTTCACACACAAACACTGGCTGTGAGCAGAGGCGTAGCACAAGATTCTGGGCCCCATACACAAGCAATCTCTGCAGGCCCCCTTCCCCCTCTCGATTCATGATGTCCCTCATGCATGTCTGAATTTCTTTTTAGAATCAACTGTACACATGAATGTGTAGTGTACTGTGTGTTAGGGTCACTAAAGAACAGTATACAGCATACCCAATTTAGTGTAAGTACACCTCTTGAGATTTAGAGGTGTGGAGATACTGAATTTGTGGAAACATGATGGATACTGGATATTAATTGTTATCGTGGGAGAATATGTTGATGGGTGCTATAAAGAAAGGGGTATTTGTGTTCTCCCCACACCCATATAAATTAATTTCAAGTAGAGCTTTGACTGCTTTATGTGGCCTTCGATACCTTATCTCCCAATCAGAGTATATTTTCAGGGAAGCAAAATACAAAGTGTCTCACTAGATCTTCAGTTTAAAGGTTTTTGACATTGTCCTCCATTTCCAGTTGTTTTCAATAATTTAGCTCACAAAAGATACAGCTGTTGTATTTTTGCATGGGACTGTAGTGGTGAACTGACAGAGACCAGATGAGATACACATCACCATGAACAAAACAAACAAGAATGATGGAGCAGTAACTTGTACATGAGCCAGACAATGAGATCAGCATATTCTGAACACCTCTCCACTTTTGGATAGTTATCTTTAAGTCTGACATTAAGCTCTAATGCTAGTGGCATCCCTCAGACTAAACAACTAGAGTAATGAATGTGTTATTTAGTTTCATGGAACATGCTGCAGCTTTGACCCAATGTGGGATTACATTATGTTCAAGCATGATTCAGCCTGCAGAGGTTTTTATTAAACCAATCAATTCAGCTGTAACTGTGTCTATCAATCTCTATCTGAAATACATTCATGATTTGGTTAATTACCATTAACTTATTATCACGCAGTAGAGTAGAGCCTACCTCTGCCGAAGCCCAACAGTCCCCTCATGAAAACACATTCAAATTTCACACAATCATAAATACCAGAAAAAGAGAAAAACACAATTTTAAAGAAAGTAGGAGCAAATCCAATCTCAATAGACCCCCCTGATTTGAATCCATACCAACCCCCCCCCACAAAATTTCATGGAAATCTGTGGAGATGTTTCTCTAGACTGCTAATTATGGGTGAAACCAAAACCACTATTCCAATTCTGTTAATTTGTTTATGTGAAGTGTTTATGCCAGTTTAGTGGCATGAAGACAGTTTGGTTGACTTTTATGGGGAAGCATTCTGGCATTTTCTCTTGATTATGAACAGCAGTTAGGATTTTGGTCTCAATTTATTTCCCTGTGCCTGTTATACATGCTCTTTGTCTTCCAAGAGAATGAGGTCAGCAGTGTGGGAAGCAGGAATTACTCTACTCATAGTCACGTATACAGTAGCAGCAGCTGATGTTGGATGACCTCACCACTTTAAAGACTCTGCACAATGTAACTTTAACAAGAAGCTGGAACTCTCATATCCCTGTTATGTGGTTGTTTAAAGCATCGAGCCTGCAGCATTAGTGAATGTAAAATAGAGTGGTTCGAAGGATGTCACACTCTCTGGTCTTTTAGGTGAAGAATGTGATGTGATGTGTTAGGTGTCATAAGTGGCTTAGCAGAGACAGGCCTGCATGTTTTTTGTGGAGGCAGTGACGTAGATCCAGGACGGGCAACGTCAGGTCTTGGTCATCCCACCACTTAAGCCCTTACTGAAATATTTCAAGAGATCTTTGACATCCACTCATGGTCCCCAGGTCATGAATTGTCGTGACTTTGTTGATCCCTGGAATTTTCCTCCTGCGTTACCAGCAGAGCAAAGATCTTATCATGTGGGATATAGTGATGATCTACTCGATGAAGTGGAAATAATATTGTGCAGACTGGGGAACAGAGACCAAAACAAAATGAATCAGCAATTCTTTTGATAGTTCAAAATTAATTATACAGATTTTTCAACCTTCTGAAATGTAATAATTTCAGAAGGTGAATATTAAATAAATGGAATATTTTTGTGTTTTTGGACAGTTTGATAAAACAGTTAATCAGCAATCTGAATATATTTTATTACACCTTTTACTATTGTCTGACCTTTTATTAACGGACTAAAAATAATGTTCAGATTCATTGATACCGAAAATTATTATTGTTTGCAGCTCTAGTATACATACATGTTCCCCTCAGGATGAATTATCTTTGCTGATCCAATGACTTTGCATTTAGGTTAATTCATGATATCCAATACCCTTTGTGATACCTGATATTCCCATCATCCTTAGCTGTTTTAAAATAAATACTGAGACACAAAACTGTGGAGTGAGGTCTGGCTATTTGAGCTTATAGAAATTCTAATTATTTTATTTATTTCTAGCTATAAAATTGTACATTTGATCCTACTTATTTTTCCCTATTAATTAGAGTCAAACTTTTAAATCATCTCTTGCCATGTACTGTATTTTTATTTGCATTAGTGACAACATTCCCATATGGCTCAAATACGTCCCTGTAGTGGTAAAGTTCCACATGTTTTCTTAACAGACACGTGGGAAATGTGGCATTCACAGGAAATACTTAACACAAGTGGCACTAGCAAATACCGCAAACGTGGGATATTGGACATAGTCAGGTATGATACCTGCTTAACATCTGCATGTTAGCACTGTCTTCATGGACTTGTTGCTGGCATTAGTAGTACTTAACTCAAAGTATCACTGTGTAGTACAGCCTCACAAAGTCGCTGGCATGACTGCTCTGTAGACTCTGTCTTCATTTCTTCACTAGCGGCAGACATTCATGAACTTTAGAAAAAGACTCCTGTTAACAGAATTCATTTTCCTTTGTCATCCAAACATTTACTTGTGCTTTCATGGGTGAAATATGCTTCCCTTGTCTCACTGAAATGACTGAAAACAAATTTTCATGACGGTGATTGTCATGGCACGTTTGGTCTCCAATGTTTGTTGGCAGTTATTCAGAGGGGATTAGAAAGAACACCTGCAGATCCTCTGTTTATTTAGTCTTCATACTTTTGAAAGTTGTATTCCAAGAAGCACGAGGCAGTTTGAGGTTGCCAGGAAGCACAGCAGTCAACTGTAAACAACTGAAATTGGTTCTATGAGGTTCTTGTAAAGCCTACTGGATATAAATGTGTCTTTAGCCGTTTTCAGACAAGAGATCTGGAGAATTGGCTACAGAGTTTACCTGCAGTTTGCCTTTTACACATGCACGACACAGTTGGAGTTCCCTGCACAATCGCATTCACAACAGCAACAAATCATACAAATCTCTTAAAGGGTTTTTCCTGGCTTAAAATGAGGTGGTGGTACCTGATCGTGGGCTAACAGGTGCACATGTACTGTGCCTTCAACTGGCTCAAGCAAGTGTTTAACTAGCAGTCTACTTTAGGAGTTGTAATTACATGAAGTATTATTTTAAAGCATATTCATTTATTTTTTATGTGCTTTGTTTAACGTTCAGTTACATGGCAGCTTAACCACCACTTACTTGCACAAGTAATTTATCCTGATAATCATGTGACAATTCCATTTAAATTCAACATTTTTAAAGAAAAAGGCAATTTTTCATCTGCTGTCTGGACAGGTGCTGTCAGGGCTTTTGCAGCTGCAATGCTGAGAGCAGGATACAGTAGAGAGGGTTCAGGGGAAACAAGCCATAGAAGCACCTCCTCCAATGACTTGTTCTGGAGTAAAACACAAGTGAGAACAAATACACAAACATTTCATATTTATTTATCCTGATAATCATGTGACAATTCCCTTCAAATTCAACATTTTTAAAGAAAAAGGCAATTTTTCATGTATATTGGGTGATTTATTGATTGATTGTACCTTCAGATCAGGATTTCTCCCTCTCAGTCTGTAGGAGGCCCACTCAGACACCAGGTCAGGCTCAGTCTAAGAAACAAGTTTGAGAGTGTCTTCAGTTCAGCATCCCCCTACTCTGCAGAGTTTGTCAGAATCTTTCTGGGACAGAATACATTGAAGACAGACTGCTGATGTTGGGGAATCGGCTATCGATGTTTTCAGTCAGTGGATTCAACAATAGCTTCATCACCTGTAGAAGATTCAAAATTTAGGTTAAATTTGAATAATACAAATATTTCAATAAGAGTTCTTGAATCTATATATTCAAAGGTAATTTTATACAGTGTTTTTGAACCTCTCCCAGACATCTTCTCTGAAGAATGCAGGGATTTCATCCTGCAGAGGCTTCAGACCAGCATCTGACTGAAGCCATGCCTGCCAGCGGTCCTTGACTATGTTGGTCTCTGCATTAGGCACAGTGCAGGGGGAAAGAACTCGTGCTTTACAAAGGAATACAGTCCCTGAGCTGTTGGTTCAGTTCGGGCTTTGAGAGATACGCAGATGTAACATGGGGAACACAGCAGAGGGGATCATACATCGACTTACTGTAATTTTAGTGGATTTCTACAGACTTTATACTATGG